TCTAATCCACCATTGTGTCTGCCACTTCAGAGAAACTGGATCAAAGGATGTCTCTGTGACTGTCCCTGACACCATCACCACCTGGGAGACGGAGACGTACTGTTTGTCCTCTCATGGTTTTGGTTTAGCTCCTCGTCAAAAGCTCACCGTCTTCCAGCCCTTCTTCCTGGAGCTCACCCTGCCATACTCCATCATCCGAGGGGAAAACTTTGAACTGAAGGCAACCGTCTTCAACTACCTGACCAGCTGCATTATGGTAATGATCTCCACCATGCTCATAGTGACCCTGTTAAGGCTGGGATGTTTTTGCAACACTTATTTTGTCTAGCGAAAAAACTTTGAGGCATATTTCTATCAAACTTGGTTATGTTCCAAACTTCTACTTGATGAATTTCTTGTCAATGTTACAAGAACAAAAAATGTTTCACTCTTTGATTTCATTACTGAATTCATTTCATTACTTTAAATTTGTACAAACTGTAACAATTACTCACCCAGTCTTTGTATTTAATTGCCCTGCAGGTATTCTCATCCCACTTCAGCAATCAACAAAATGACAAAATATATTTAAAAAACATGCTGTAAATTTCTAGTCATTGTTTTTCTTTCAGCTGGATACTATATTATTTCAAATATTTGTTACATTAGGAACACATAAATCTGTGAAGAAGTAGCTTCTATAATAACAGCTGTGGAAAAACAGAAGATATCTGCTGAGCAAAGTTGATTCACAGGACACTTACAGTATCTGACACCAAGTCTCTGGATCTAGAGAAAACCAGTTTAGCAGATAAGGAGCTACAAGTTAATGTTAGCTGAGAATCATTCCCAACACACATTATGAATGTGATATCTTGTGTTATCACATGGAACTGAGTGTAACATTATTTTTCTTCCCCTTTCGTGGAGCAAAAAAGGGAGAATTGGAAATGCTGTGTGTGTGTCTTTCTGTGTGACTCAGTTGAGAAAACTATACTTTTAAGCTGTATTAAAACTAGAAATCACAGTTTCCACAGATGAGTGCAGTGCACCTTGGGGTTCACCACTGGCCACCCCCTGGCTCTGACATTGCACCTGGACATGGATGAACTTGATCCATCCACTTGCAGGATCTGTCTCTTTGCACTGCACGAGACATGCAAAAAAAAAGAAACAATAAAAAACACAAGAAACAATAGTTGTTGAACTTATTCCAAATACATGTTTTCTTCTTAAACAGCTCAAAGTGACTGCAGACCCCTCCTCAGATTTCACCCTCACCCCCCTCTCTGGTGACCAGTACACATCCTGTCTGTGTGGCAGTGAACGTAAGACTCTCAGCTGGACCATGACTCCCACTACCTTAGGTGAGGGTCGGACTTGTATTCAAACCCGTGTACATTTTAAAGGTTGGCGAGCAGGAGGAGAAGTGTCTTAGTTCATTCACATCTTCACAAACTCAGTGAGGTCCGTGTCAGCGACATGTTTTGATAACAAGAATTTACAGAACCTGAATGTGATCTTGGTGTTTTTAGGGCTTGTGAATGTGACTGTGACTGCTGAGGCCATTACATCTCACATTTCTTGTGACAATGAGATTGCGAGCGTTCCAGAAAGAGGTCGCATTGACGTTGTGACACGGCCTCTCATCGTCAAGGTTGGTGTCACATCATGAGATGACCAAGAAAATAAAGCCTGAGAACAATTTTGGGCATTTTAGGTGATTTTGAAAATAAACTCAGGATAGTAAAGTAACCCTGTAACCCTCTGAGAACAATATTGAATTGATTTCTTTCAGGCTGAAGGAATTGAAGTAACAAAGACACACAACTGGCTCCTCTGCCCCAAAGGTCGGTCATATTTGGACCCTCTGATGTTGTTCTGAGCCCATTCGTGATTCACTGACTCTTTACATTTGTACGGTCTATGGTTAATGTTTGGCTCGTTATTATTTTGTTCCTCTCGGTTCACAGGAAACACTTTGGCAGAGGAAACAGAGATGCACCTTCCTGAAAATGTGATTAGTGGATCTGCCCGTGCAACCGTATCAGTCCTGGGTAAACTCATTTATTATTATTTTTAAATAAACAACAAAGTTTGACAAATGAAACTAGCTCTTCTTCCTTCAAGCCTCAAAATATTTCTGTAAGCTTCCTAATGTATTTTATACTTCTGGTATCACTGTGGGGATTTTATTTTGAACATACTGTGTCAAATCCATGCTTTTTCTGAGTGAATCTGTCTTTGTGCAGGCGACATTCTTGGCCGTGCCCTGAAAAACCTGGATGGACTGCTGCAGATGCCGTACGGTTGTGGAGAGCAGAACATGGCTCTACTGGCCCCCAACATCTACATTCTTGAATATCTACAAAGTACACAACAACTGACTCCAGCCATTAAAGAAAAGGCATCCAACTTCTTAACCAGTGGCAAGTCTTCAGTTTCATAATGCAGTTTAGAGATTGAAATGTTTAACACTCGTAATAAATGTTTGATGCTGGTTTGATGCTGGCATAACTGTGGAAGCATATTTCAGTTCAGGTCACTGTGAGCATGAGTTTTGGGTTCATATGACCCTAAATGCCTCTAATAAATTAATACTTGATTAAATATATGAAGCAGCACGGTGGCTCAGTTGGTAGAGCTTTTGTCTCTCTATGAGAAGGTTGCTGGTTCAAATCCTGGCCCAGGACCCTTCTGGGTGGAGTTTGCATGTTCTCTCCGTGCATGCGTGGGTTTTCTCCAGGTACTCCAGTTTCCTCCCACAGACCAAAAACATGCATGTTAGGCTGATTGGTAACTCTAAATTGTCCCTAGGTGTGAATGAGAGAGTGAATGGTTGTTTGTCTCGTTTGTCTCTATGTGTCCCTGTGATGGACTGGAGACCTGTCCAGTGTCCTCCCACCTCTCACACAGTGACTGATGTAAATGGGCACCAGCAACCCCCGCGACACAAAAAGGAAGAAGCGGGTAAAAATTGTTGGAATAATGGATGTAATAATAAAATAAAGGATGGATGAAGTATATGCAGTGCAATGCAAACTGGCACTACATGTTGCTTTATCTGAATATGTACATTTAATAAAGTGCTACATATTTGGAGCAAACTGTATCTATAAAATTGCATTTCAGATCTAATGCTGCTCTGCTCACTTTATGTCTTCAAACATGGTGGTAGAAAAATGCCAGCTCAGTGCCCACATCCTCTTTGTCTTCACTGAAGACAAAATATTACAATTTAGGGACATTTAGCAGCCGCACTAAGATAATAGATGGTTTCAGAGAACCATATTCGTAAGTTTGTACAATACTGTCTGTAAAAATCATATTCCTAATTAGTACTGACTGTTGGTAAACACTGTGTATAATGGAGGTTGGGTGCTGTTGAGCTCGACCAGTGATGTCAGTGGGCAGTAGAAGCATTTCTTGGACCTTCTCCACTTGTTTCTAATGTTTTGCAGGCTACCAGAGACAGCTGAACTACAAAGACAATTTTGGTGCATACAGCACATTTGGATCAGGACCAGGAAACACATGGTGAGAACAGCACAGATCAGTCCAGACATGCTGTTTAAATCAATTTAAACTGAACCATTTACCTTAGAAATAAAATGGTATGAGAAACTTTATCATCTCACCAATATGAACAAGCA